AAAAGGATCCAAGTTATCAGGCCCTGCCGATTTTTTGGTGTCTATATTTTTCAATTCTCTGAGAACCTCAGCTGTGGTTAAAAAATAACCACCGTTTTTAATGACTCATTATTCAAGGAGGTTTCAGTCAAGTAAGATATGAGGATGAGATGCTGTAACAAGTGGCAATACCATGTCTACACTCTTAGGCAATCCAAGATGTTATCAGAAATGTCAAAAGTTTAAAAGCAATCATTCCTGATATTGACAAAATGTATGTTAAAAAAAAATAAAAATAAAAAGCTAAAACAAATATTTAAAAAGGAATGTTCCAGATTAACTGCAATAAATGGTAGGAAGCATGCCATTTGAAATGTTATGCAGTCAATAATTTATATCGTGAACAAGATGGGTCCTGAGACTGCGCCTTGAGGTACACCTTTTCTGACGTCAAGAAAGGTGGAACTAAATCCATCCATTTGAACACACTGCGTCCTTACGAGCCGGGCAATCGGCAAACCAAGAGGCAGCTTGTTTAGAGATGCCATTCCTGAAAAGAATTTCTAACAAGATACCGTGGATCCACAGTGCCAGATGCCTTGGATAGGTTAATGAACAGGAGCCACACAATCTTTTTAAATCCGATGCCTCAAACACATTGCATTTGGCAGATGCTTTCATCCACAGAGACTTAAAAACGAGGATATAACAATGCAGTTAAAATCAAATCTAATAATGAGCCTCTTAGAAGAAAGGTTCTTCTAAGGTTGTGTCAGACTCAACAGGGGGGGCAGAGTATAAATGCAGCGCTGGATAGGAAATTAAAAGCCAGGTTTGTCAGTCCTTTTGTTGTATACCAAGCCGGCCATAAACAAGCATTTTGTTTTCATTTTGCAACCAAAATGATGGCTGATGTCATCTGCTGTTTATTTTTAGCGGGAAGATTTAGAAACTGATTTAAAGCCATCTGTCTGTGAGACATTCTTGCTTTGCCAGTAATAGGCTTGAGGACTAAACTACTTTTGCATTTGGCGTCTTTTAATTTTTTCAGCAATATTTGACCAAGCAGCTTGTTGTTCATTTTTTATTTTTTATTTTTTATTTTTTTTCCAGGTACAGTGTAGAGACTTTGTTTTTAAGCAGTTATACACAAAACATATTTGAACAATGTAGCAAATATGACAAACCTACCTAATACATTATTTTCTCAGATAAATACATACAATCAAACAAAGCAAATTACATAAACTTTGCCTGCACGGCACAGTCGGGCTTAATATCTGAAAGGCAAACTGCTGGAAACTTAGTCCACAAAATATGAGGTAAACTTATTTCTCTCTTTCTTTCAGTGGAGAGGGCCAATCATTTAGAAAAGTCTGAATTCAAGAGTAATGCTATTCATTGTACACCGCTGCTGAGGTCTTATGGATGTTTGCAGATGAAAAACTAGTGCTGATTCGCTGTTTAATGTGTGACAAGATTAATAAAGCTCCTCTGTATATAATCAGTGAGCTTCTGCCGGAACATTTTGTCACAGTGAAAATAAACCTCTGCCTACAGCTTAAATTTGACTACAACAGCAGATTGTCAGCATTCTGCAGCATAGTTTAGAAAAAAGCAGCCACAAAAGCGCATCACTGTCTCCTTTTAATCATTTACTTTATATTCCAGGTGAGACATGTTCCAGCTCCTTATGTCAGAATTATGTAGTTCTCGGCCTGTTTTTCCCTCTCCGTCTTCATCAGAAACACTTCTGCAAATAAGAGTTATTACAGAACGACAACAAAGCTCTGCAGCTAACAGCCGAAGCAACTGCAAGGTTTTGATAGATTTTTCTGGTCCAATTTCCTACTTTTCAGAATTCAAAGTTCTTAGTTCTTATAGGCCTCTCTTTGCAGTTTACATGTAAAGATGGATGAATGGACAAAAAAATTAAATATCAACGTTTAGGCACTGCTTTTAGGATAGTTGAATGGAAATTAAAAAAAAAATCATCTTGTTAACCGTGTTTTCTTTATTACATTTATCCAGGCCTGGAATAGGCAATGTGGAAGCAGAAGGTAAATAAACGGACAATATGTCACATGACTAATATGACACATGCTAGTTCCTATAAATGAGCTTTTTCTGTAATTAATTTACATTAAAGTTCTCCATTAGACTACAGTAATACAACAGACTATGTAGCAGGGAATGTGCTCCAGGCTTCACCGATGACGACATTTATCTTTGCCAGATTTAGCTTTTTGGTCCATTTGCAGAATTAGCAAAACGATAGGTATACTTTATGGCGACTGAATACACTTTAACATTATCAGTCACTGAAAGTTTATTCAACTTGCTCTGTGTGCCTTCACCCATTACAAGACGGTAAAAAAAAAAATAACTAAAACTGTCAGCAAACGCAATTAGCTGTCATCTCGGGGATAGCATTCTACCACAGGTTTTACGATTGTTAGAGACGACTACAGGAGACAGACTCACAACATGGCCCAAACTGGAGCTGGTAACACACATGGGTACAGACACCCCAATCATTTGTATCCAGAATAAGGATAAAGCCTCGTAAACACAGTAATGAGGGCTGTGATGATCAACAACTTCAGTCTCCATCGCTCCATTTCTCTTGTGCTTCAGAGCCCACATCGCTCACAAACAGCCAAGCGCTAATTTGGGATAAAAAGAAAATACTGACTTGCAATATTTTCCTGGTTTACCACAGACTTCCAAGGGACCACACATACAGGAGTGAAGTACCTCACATGCTCATTTGATAAAATTAGGTTAGGAAGGAGTCTGTTCTGCTCTTTCCGTCTTTGTGAGAGAGCAGCTGATGGTGTGGAAATTAGGAGCCTGCGTGTGCTTGTGTGTGTTTAGGAGTGTGTGTGTGTGTGTGTGTGTGAGTGGTTCACTAATCCCTCCACAGAGCTGAAACGAGTTAAAAACACATCAAAGGGAAGCTTAACCTCTGTGAAACCTCACCGGGTTTTCAAGAACAACAAATGATCATTCTCCTCATTGTTTCCAGGGGGAATCTTTTCACCGCTGCGTCGCTGACTTTTCCCCGAGTCCTTGGAGTTTTCAAAAAAAAAAAAAAGCCTGTGGTTTCATTTTTAATGACTGTGCCATTTGTGTGACTGCGCACGTGTGTTTGTGAAAGAACATAGGTGTGTGTAGGTGTGAGGAGGTGCATGCGTGCATGTGTGTTTGCATTTAAAAAGGGGGTAGTTTCGTCTGTGACACGGCAAATGAGGGGAGCGAAGCTAACAAGGACATAGAGCTCCGCACGAAATCATTAAAATGTCCGACATCCTGACTGGCTATACAAAAGTTATGTATATACACAAGCAATGAGGGATGGAAAGGGGGTTTGAAAGACAGACGGGGGCGATGGAGACAAAGGACGGCAAGATGAAGAGGCCGTCAGAAGCCCGAGACCCGTTTTCCCCAAATTCTCATCATCACAGTATAATAGCGCTCTTTCTGGTTAAATATTTGCATACTTTTTCTCTTAACCCTTTTCTCATGTGAATAAGCACCGGCCTTTTTTGTTTTTAATTCTTCAAACTACAAAAAAAATGATGTGTCAACTGTAGATGTACAATGGATTATAAGGCATAAATGTGCTGTATCACTGCAGCAAAATCTTATTTAAGTTCATTTACTGTAATTTTTCATGCCTGGCAATGTATTTACATTTAGGTCTGACATGGTAGTCAAACATTCAACAATATAGTAACTATACTCACATGCAATCTATGCTATGGAGCATTTCACGAGCTGACAGAGAAACGTTAATAGAGGCACTCTGAAATATGAATACAGTAGGTACAGAGATATGCAAATACAAGTATGTCTGTTCTCCATTATCTATAATTAAACCCATGAAAAACAACAAAAAAAAAAAAGCCAAATAAGTTTTAGGTACTTTTAAGTCACATTGTAATGACTTGGTGCTAATAATCTTCTCCACAGACTCGCGGAGAAACATGCCAACACATAAAGGCACGTGGTCGTGTTTACGAGAGGAGAAGTGGGACACATGGTGCGCAGCTGCAGTGTAACGAGAGAACGCGTTAGAAGCATTTATGCCAACATCTGCGCCATGTCTGTGGATGACGATGATGATGTGATGACACTCATTCGTCCATTGCGAGGCTAACATCATGAGTAGGACGGATTTACTCCTTAAAGATGTGGCACTGAGTTGCATATATCGTATGCAAGTAATTTAGATTCCAAGCTGAGCAGAAAGTATTCATTTTTCTTACCCTTTGGGATTTTACAAATAAGTGTCGACATTTTATTATTTATTATTTATTTTTTTTACCTCAATAGGCTAGATTCACATTTGTCTCAAACGTTGGAGTGTTGAATCTGTAATCAAGAGATCAAGAGGTTTTTTGTTTTGTTGTTTTTATTTCATTGTGGTGGGATTTGCTGAGTTTTGTAACACCAACTTGTGTTGCAGTACAAACTGATGGTGTATTTTTTCTTCTTTTTTGTGCTCAAAATCTTAGAAAACATTTTCACAAATGTAAATGCTGCACAGTATTACGACTGGCACTGACTCAATGAGACTAAATGGTCTCAATAACTGATAATAAACAGTTGTGCAACTTTTATGATGTTTTATTTTTCTGGTAGTATGAGTGGCTATAAAATACTAAACTTTCAGATACAGTATTTGTTGTCTTTCATGCAAAAGCCTTCTGGTTCTGCCAAACTAGGCAAAACTAGAACCTTTTGATCTGACTTTGATCTGCAGGACATAACCCTCATACCAAATAAATAACAAGAAACTTAAAAGTTCAAAAGTAATCACAGGTCAAAGTCAGAAGGTTCTACTTCCCAGATGTTCACTCATCCTCCATGACAGCCACCTTCCAGACAGTAGGAGACAGCGCATCCCACAGCTGGCCTATCCCCAAATGCTTCACCGAGCCTGGGACTCACCTGATCTGTCCCTACCATCTCCTTTCACCTTAGTTTGGGTTTAAGCCCCATCAGTGTCCCCCTGCCACTGAGTTGATTCTCAGAGCTGGGGGATGGAGGCAGAGAGAGAGAGAGAGAGAGAGGTGGATGGAGGAGTAATGCTGAGAGGTGGATGAAAATAAGATCCGTCGCTCTAGTCTTCTGTGCCTGGACGTCTTCTCCTCATACAGCCTACGCAACCGTTTACTCCTCTGCGGAGGACATTTAGCTGGAGAGAGAGAAAGAAAACATTTCAGAGGAAGACACGCAGAGAGAAAAATGATTCATTTTTTTTGAACGCAAATGACAACAATGTGAGCAGGGACACACTTTGAGGAAACTCTGAGGAATCCCAAACATTGAGATTCACATAATCAAGTAACAAAACTTCATTCAGAGTCGCAGAAATTCGATGAACCATCAGAAGTGAACAGCTATCAGGTTTTACCAAGTAGCTGACATTTCAATACGACTCTCATTCAAGCTTTTGCAGTCCCTTTCTCACAGCTGAAGGGGAAATGCAAATGGGGGTTGGAAAAGGGGGCTTGAGGAGTGCGTTGTGCTCACGGTTGGAAATAGGAATCATGCGACAGGAGAAATTTCAGCATAAAACACAACCAATTTAAGTGATCATTAGAGGTCTTATTGGACGGAAAATCACCCGTGACACAAAACAAATTGCACATTGTCAAAACATGATTGGGCTCACTGAAACGCAATTACAGACAAGTGAAATTGTGTTTTGTTTTGTTTTTTCCTTTTTTGACAAAAACATTTAGGTGAAGGCAGGAGGAAATTTAAGCTAAGAAGTCGTTTTCAAGGCCTAGACATTACAGAATTTTGCATCTGCTGTAAAACACGGCACTTTGCCGGTTGAAAGAGAAGGATAATGAAGCAGATAGGAGATTAAAAGAACGAAAGATTTAAAATTACTCATTTTAGCTCTAAGGAGGAGTAGAACGAGAAAGTTAAACAGGCAAAGAAATAAAAAAAAAACACAAATGTCAGATATTGACAGTGGCACACATTCGCATCTGTTTTTTGTGTGTGCAAGCTGCGCTTAAAGAATGATGTCACAATAACATGTCTGGCCATGTGTGCTCTTATAACTGTGCATTACTGCGTGTGTGTGTGTGTGCGTGTGTGTATAAGAGTAAGAGAGCGAAACACAAATGGAGATGAGACAGACATTTCCGGATGTTTCCCATCCAGACACCTTCCCCGCCCTCTACACACACACACACACTTAGCATGTCTTTCTATTTTCACGAGGACTTTCCACTGACTTCCATTCATGTCTAGAGTCTTACCCTTGACCTTTAAGTACTGTATTGCCAGAATATGCCTAGCCCTAACACAAAAACAGCAATTCTTCATATAGGGCCGGGACTTTTGGCCCCATAAGCAGCAGTCGTTCCTTAAACGGTCCTTTCAAAGACAAGGTCATGCATGCATGCACACGCAGACACACACACACACATATATAGACAAAGGTGAAGATGCATAATGGATCTGATAAAATGTATGACATCCGATGATCAGAAATAGTCTTAAGCTTCATTTCTGCCAAGCCAATAAATACACTGTGTGTCACAACCATCGTAAGTCGCTTAAAGAGCATATACTGTATTCAACTAGAAAGCATCCTTCAGTCTGTTAATTTTATGCTACGCCAAAAGTAATAGAGCCTATAAATGAAAAACACTGAGGCTGACATTTATAATTAACTGCATATTCAGACAGACCTGATTAATTTTGTTCGTCTTTGGTGGCTCGGGGTACCTTTTTCTAATTGCATGGGAGGGGGGTAAAATTAAAAATCAAAGCTTGCCAGCTCACTCGTCACATACCACGAGTAAACTGGCGTGCATCGGTTTGATAAAAAGGACGTGAGCACTTCTATAAGTGGGGTTGAGAGAAAGACAGAAGGGCACAGTAAGTGGGGATTATGACGTTTAACACATTTCAATAGCTCTGTTGGAAATGGCAAAATAAAAAAAGCTCAAAACAGCTTAATGAAGAAAGCAGTGGTTAATTTAAATTATGTTACTTAGGAAGTAGACGCTGCTGCAATTACAGATAAAGATTATTTTACACAAAATAAACCGTCACTAAAGTCACAAGGTCTTGGAAATACTTCACTGAAACTAAAACGGTCAAAAGCACATGTACGCTTCGTCAATATGCTAAAATCACAGCGCCATGTAGTGGCCTGGCATTACAACTACAGCAGGTTCAAGGTCATGGCCGTGCTGTGTAAACGTGGAACTTTTTCCCCCCCATCACCATCCAAAAATACAAAGATACCAGATAGTGTTCTTGTGTAATTTTTATCAATAATGAAATGGGAAGAAAAAAAAATGTTGGACTGGCTCGAGCTCTTTCCGAATGTTTTAAGCATAGTCCGCCCTCCAGCTGGTTCTGCACGCCATATAAGATAAAACCTTTCCAGTCCTAAAAAGACATGCACATTTGTCATGGTGTGTAAATTTATAGTACCACCAGCAAGTCTTTTTTTTAAAGTATTACTGCTTTTAAATTCCAGTTGGAAAACTGTGAGTAAGGCAGGTGAGTGCAGGGATCTGAGCAATTAGCCCAACATTAGGCAATTTAGGTGGACAATTTTATGGCTTCAATAATATTTTAAAGGACTGCACGTGATCATTTCTACTTTTGTGTTTGCACATGTCATAAAGCCACCAAAATTTACTTTGCATCAGATTCGTTGAGTTGCTTTAACCTGAAAGTGAACCAATCTAATGCATTTTCTCTCATCTCTGCCTGAAATAACACGTCATTCTCAAACAACAAACAAAAAAAGAAACAAAAAAAAAAAAAACCTAAGGTTTAATGATAATCATGATCTCTGTTAATTTGGTGTGACATTTGAAAAGTTTGCATGAAATTAGCTTGACAGTGGAATGGAAATCAGGTGAATGTGTTCTGTGGAGAGCCTCTGGGTGAGCGGGAGAGCAAAGCCTCTGTTTGATGAGCAAATAAGACTGATGCAATGAGACAGACCTGATTTATAACCTGACGGCTTGTACATGAATAAACTGAGCAAAATCATCCAACTTCTTCAGGGATATCTGAATATTTGTGTGCGTGTGTGTGCAGGTGTGAGAGTCCAGCAGACCAGTGAAATGTTTCTATCCTTGCCTTTCCCGGCAGCTTGTGTGTTTGTGTGCAAGTAGATTGTCCGTGCTGGATCGATGTGTGTAATGATTCACACTGGAGATTAAGAGGCGCCATTACACACCTGACCTGTTAAACAGCACCTTTCTCTTTCCCTCCGTCTGTTGCTTCCTGTGTGGCTCCATACTCCTTCGTCTGAAACCTGCAACTAATGTCGGCATTAAAACTTCAACAAGTACCAGCTTTCCTCGCAGCCCGTCAATCAGCGGGCCACTCCGCAAACTAACAAAAGTCGGGTGAGCCATTCCCCGGGCCCAGGAGTTTTGGAGAACTGAGGGGGCTGAGGAGTGCTTTTGATTTGTCTCTCCTTTGGTGATTTGTTGACTCTTGTGAAGTTCAACACAGTAAAAAATGTCAGCATTTCCCAAGAATATTCCTCTGTGTTTTTTTCCCCCACATTGTTTTATCACAGCGGGCCATTTCCCTGCGCTGTCATGGAGAGATCAGCGCGGCTGTATTGATATACATCTTTCTCTGAGTTTCATGAAAGGGAAATCATTTACCAGAGAAAAGAAACGTCACTGCTTTTTCCCGATACGATTTGTCCTCCTCCCCCCTCCCCCCTCACCAAACCAACGCCGCCCCCTCTCACCACCACCTCCAACCCTCCATCCCAACCCTGCTACAGACTTTTCACTTTTATCGTAGGAAGAGGAAATGGATGTCTGTGTGTGCCTCTGTGTAAGTGCGCTTGCGTGTTTGAAGTTGGACGCTTGAAAGCTTCCTCTTCTGTGTGAGCTCAACAGCAGGTGGGCTGGTGTGTGGGTTTGTGTTTGTGTCTGTCGGGTAAAAGGACCGTCAGGACGTGGCGTGTCTTTGTGTGTGCGCGCGCGTGCGTGTGCATGTATGACAATCTTACTTGTTGATTTAATACGCCAATGGCCTCCAGGTTGCTTTGCAGTCTCGAAAGCATGTCCTCGATTCTGCTGAGGTTTCGAGCAACTGTGTTTCTTTTCAGTGCTGCAAGACAAGTGAAAGCCTCCGAACCAGCAAACGTATGGAAGTAATTTTAGACAAAGTCGCTTTAAACTTGAGCTAAGCAGGTGAATTAAATATTTATTTCTGCCGTCAACTGAAAGGCTAGCTCCAAACAATCACAAAGACGTTTTCAAAAGACAAAAAGCAATTATTGCTTTTTGTCTTTTTTTACATTTTTGCCACATTGTGGCAACGCACAAAAAGCAAATAGACGGATCCACTGTAAAAATGTAACATTTTGAAACTTTTGTTTTAAAACGTGGAGAAACAAATGTCTCTGCGTGCGTTTTCAATGAAATTTTATTAGATAGTTTAACTGGAGACAAAAAAAAAAAAAGTAAAATTCAGAAAAATATACAGATACTTTATATTTGCTTCTATCCATACAGAGAAACATATTTTCATACAACCGCAGCCAAATACTGATGAAAATGTTGAGCACAAGAGGTTAAGATGCACCATCTTCGTTATGTCTACCTTCATTAAAACTTATTACTAAACTCAAAGATGGGTTGGCAAATAGGTTCCTGAAATCATTAAATTATAATGCATATGAATCAGGGGAAAAAAAAAAAAAAAAAAAAAAAAGGAAAATGCAGACAGGGAACATTAAGAGTACAAGAAGCCATTTAAGATTTTAACTGTTTATTAAATCTGTTTTGGGAAATGACAAACAAATGTTAGGGTCTCGTATCTTCAGACCCAGGGCTGACTAAGGAATGACTATTAAATTAACGACGGTGGATAATGGTGCTCTGTGCGAGCTGAAAAGCTTGCTGCCCCCGCTTTACGCTTTTTCTTTCATGCTCCAATGAACCTGTCCAGTTAGCATTCGGGGGGGGGAAACCCTTCTAAATACTTTAGTGAAGACTTCTTAGCCCATTAAAGTACCACTGTACCTCCTTTATGTTAATTTTCTTGTAAAAGAGCAAGCTGGGATTTTCTATCAGAGCAGCGGATGGGGAAGACAGTCCCGTTTTGCTTCAGTTGAGAAGATGCATGCACTCCTCGAAACGCTGATAAATGGCATTATTGTTCCTGTAGATGTGATGGTGG